TTAATAAAATATTATAAAATTAGTTCTGTTAACTCTATTAGTTAAAAGAAAGTTTTTATCAGTTAATAGTCAACTAACAATCAGATAATAGAATTAATAGTCAATTAACAAAACTAAAAAAATATTATAAAATGAGAGTTATTTTCTTCAATTTTAATAGGTGAGAGACTAACAATATTATAGTATAAGATGAAAGGTTAAAACCAACAAATCTAGTAAGGTGAGTGGTTAAAAAAGTAAAATACCCAAATCAACCCCCAAAGTATAATGGTAGGGACGGATCCACCCCCGAATAAAAAATGGAGACAAATCTACCCACAAAGTTTTCAACTTGAACGAATCACTCCAAATTTAACGTGTGACGTTATCTGATATCAACAATTTATTAATTTAATATCATCTGACGTCAGCAATCCATTAATGGATTAACGAATTGCTGATGCTAGATGATACCACACATTAAATTTGAGGTGATTTATCTAAGTTAAAAATTTTATGGGTAAATTTATATTTATTTTTTATTCGAGGGTGAATCTGTCCCTATTATTATACTTTAAGGGTGAATTTAGATATTTTGTCGGTTAAAAATACCATAATTGGGGGCTAAACTAAGTTTTTGCCGTGGGGGCGGGGTGGGGGAAGAAAAAGCAGCATGCGGGGAAGGTTGATAGAGACTGATGAAAAAGAAAGACGCGTACATCTATAAAGCAGAGAAGAGGGGCACTGTGGGAGTCTAAAAAGCTTATTTTTGCTAAGGAGAAGGGCACACTGGATTCCACCTACAAATTCAGCGGTTCAAAAACCAAATTCCCTAACACGATTTGCTGATATTCCTCAATTATAAATAGAAAAAAATATATCCATCATAATATTGATGCTTTCTTCATTACCTAACCTTGTTGAGAATATATTTGTTCACTTTTGATCATGATTCGAAAGACGAGTAATGCCACTATTGTACTCACGCGGAGAATATTATCGCCAATTTAAAAACAGGTTGAAATGTGAGATTCATATATATAACACCAATGGATGGCAAAAAAGGTTCGGCCTTCGATTTGACCTAAGAATAATTTCTTAATTTTGAAGAAAACAGTTTTAGAACTGTTCTATTCAAACAGCAATTTACAGAAATATCCACATTTTTTAGAAGTTAGATGAGCACTACCATGGGCCATCTTAATTTCTATTTACAAATTGAAGTTAATTTCAGTCCAAAAAACAAGACTGATTAAATTTGACCGAAAACGTAGTTTTCTTATTATGTTAAATGTGATGCGATGCTGTACCTGTTACAATTTTGGAATTGCATTCGTAATTGACTACTCTGGTTTGTGAATGCACGGAGGATGATTTTTGAGCTGTCTTGTGGACCGAATAATTTCCAATAATGGAAGGTTCTTTTGCTGGTTTTTTTTTTTTTTAATATTTTAGTTATACAATAGAAGGTAAACT